GGCGCGTCGGCGGCGTCCGGGGGGGGCCGGGGGAGCTGCGGGCGCTCGGCTCCGGGGCTGGGTCTCAATGTACTTGGGCAGCCTGAGCCCTCCACCGAGCCCCAGGGGCACGTGGCAGCCACAGGCCTGGCAGACGGGTCTGGGGCCTGAGCCCTGTGCTCTGGCCTGGCCTGGGGAACAACTGGGGACCCCAGGCCCCACCCTGGGCACCCCCCCCGCCCCCAGGCCCCCCCGGCACTCACAAGACGTGGAACTGGAGCAGCTGCACGGCCAGGCTCTCGCAGAAACCCTCCATGGCGAACTTGGAGGCCGCGTAGACGTCGTTAAACACAATACCTGTTGAGAGGGGGGTGAACTTGGGGGGGCAGTGTGGCTGGGGGGGCCACCAGAGTCCATTAACCCACAGCACCCCCCATGGCCCACTGTACCGCCCCCTCTGCCACTCCCCCGACTGCACCCCTCCCCGACCCCCTCGCCGTACCCCCCGGTGCCCGGCCCCCGGGTGCTGCCAGCCCCTCACCCTGCAGCCCCATCACGCTGCTCATCACCACGATGTGGCCGCTCTGGCGCCGCTTCATGTCGGGCAGCACAGCCTGCACCATGCGCACGGCCCCGAAGAAGTTGGTCTCGAAGACGCGTTTCATCTCCGCGATGCTGATGCTCTCGATGGGCCCGATGTGTCCCACGCCCGCGTTGTTCACTGGGGGGGAGACGCTCAGAGCCCCTGGCCCCCCTCAGCCCGATGTGGGCAGAGAGAGCCCCCACGACACAGCCCCTGCCCCGCTGCCCCCCCAGTTCCCCCCCCGGCACAGCCCCTGCCCCGCTGCCCCCCCAACTCCCCTCCGGCACAGCCCCTGCCCCGCAGCCCCCCCCAGCATGGCCCCTCCCCTGCCGCCCCCCCAGCTCTCCCCCGGCATGGCCCCTCCCATGCCATGCCCCCCAAATCCCCCCGGCACAGCCCCTCCCCCACTGGCCCCCCCAGCTCCCCACAGCCCAGTGCCCCCATCCACCCACACACTGTCCCCCCAGCCCCCTCCTGAGCCCCCCCGGTCCCCAGCAGCTGGCACCCCCTGCTGCCCCCCCAGTTGCCCCGGCCGCGCCTCACCCAGCACGTCGACCCGGCGCTCGGGGAGGCCGCCCAGGCACTCGGCCACCGAGGCGTCGCTGCAGACGTCCAAGCGCCGGATGCTGAGAGTCCTGCCCAGGGCCGCGCCCGCTGCCTGCTCCAGTTTCTCCCTCTTCTGCAGGTCCCGCATGGTGGCAACGACTGGAGGGCGCAGCGGGTCTGAGGGGAGGGGGCGACACGGGGCCCAGCCAGGCCCCTGGGCTCCTCCTGCCCCCCCTGCCCTCCCAGCCCGGCACGGCCCCTCCTGCCCTGCTCCCCCCATCCTGGCACCGGACGGGGGAGGGGCTGGCTCAGAGTCAAGGGGTCAAGCCGGGATTCTCGCTCCCTAAGAGGCTTTGGTGTCACGGGGCCACTTTAGCCAGGCCAGGCCTGGGGGGAGGGGGCAGCTGCCAGGTCAGGGCCTGTATTACTGAGCGGGGGGCGGGGGTGTCACACCCTGACTGGGGGGGGGGTCAGCTCAGGTGCGGGGGGGGGGGTTATG